TGTCTGGTGTAAACTGTCTATGGTGTAAACTTTTTCTGGTGTAAACCTTTGTTGGCTTTGTCTGGTGTAAACGACGTCTGGTGTAAACCGTGTCTGGTGTATACGGTGTCTGGTGTAAACGCTGTCTGGTGTAAACTGTCTCTGCTGTAAACTCTTTCTGGTGTAAACCTTTGTCGGTTTTGTCTGGCGTAAACCTCGTCTGCGGTAAGACCTTTTTGTCTGGTGTAAACGGTGTCCGGTGTAAACGCTGTCTGGTGTAAACTGTCTCTGCTGTAAACTCTTTCTGGTGTAAACCTTTGTTGGCCTTGTCTGGTGTAAACGACGTCTGGTGTAAACCGTGTCTGGTGTATAGACGGTGTCTGGTGTAATCGATGTCTGGTGTAAACTCTTCTCTGGTGTAAACCTTTGTCGGCTTTGTCTGGTGTAAACTTTTCCATGGTTACTTCGTCTGGCGTAAACAACGTGTGGTGTAAACCGTGCCTGGCGACATGCACCATCATCATCATTATCATCATCATCATCATCACCTTCATCATCATCATCAGCATCATCATCATCATCATCATCCTTATCATCCACATCATCATCATCATCATCATTATCATCATCATCGTCGTCAGCACCATCATCATCATCATCATCATCATTACCAGCAGCTACGTCATTGCAATCGTCATCGACCTCATCGTTAGCTCATGATCACAATAGCATATCACGGGCGTATCGTGAGATCATCATCTCATGGCACATCATATTTTCATATTTGATGTCATGTCATATTTTCTTTCACGGCATGAGAGTTACATGTGTTTCAGGTTGTGTTGTATTTGTATACTTGGCTTGAAATAGACCCAGCTGACTCGACGTGTTATTGTAGCTGATTGGATTTTTTCCGTCGTTTGCATCGGCATGACGGTGACGGCTTTAGCATGATCAGCATCAGATTTGTTGTTACAGCTGCTTGAATTTTTTCCTTTGTTGGCATCATCATGACGGTGACAGCTTTTAACATGATCAGCATCATTGACCTTTGTGTCGTATGGCTCGAAGGCAAGTGGGCTCGCTTATTCTCGATCGACGGTTGGCAGAATCCGATCCGTGTGGTCGGTAGGGTTCATGAACCAAACGTATCTTTATACATAGATCAGTGGCGTTGGCGCGAGACCGCGAGTTGTGCGAATCTCGCCAGCACAGCCAATTCAACCGTGCGATCAATGGAGCTCATGAAACAAACGTATCTTACGTAGGTACCATCGACTTTATACATAGATCAGTTGCGTTGGCGCGAGACCGGAAGTTGTTCGAATCCCGCCAGCGCAACCAATTCAACCGTATGAAATCATGTTGGACCTTCGAAATCTTGTGTAGCTTTTTATAGCCATGGCTTCGTCTTCTTCCTCCAGTGGTCGCCTTCCGCTGCAGCGGGCTTTGCAAAATCTGCGGATGGAATGCGAGACTGGAGGTCAGCAGAGGTTACAGTCACAGCTCAATGGAAAGAGCATTGAAGAGCTGCGCAAGCTGTGCATAGCAGCTGGTGTGTCAATTCGACTTGGAGATTCTGACGTGAAACTGTCTAAGAGTGACTTAGTGCTTGAGCTGGTGAGGGTGTTGTCGACACCTGCAGAAGCTTGGTGGCAGATGTTGTGATTTGCCTACGTCGTCAAGCTACAATTTTTTTTTCCGGTGGATACACGGGAATACGTGCACGTGTATATGTAAAGAGTGGATCGTTAATCACATTGATGGGATCACGGCCAGCGCCATGCTCAGGATTCATCACAACCTTCAGCGGGTGACATTGAGCAGCTCGTCCAAGTTCTCCAGACAGAAGCTGCTGTCAAGGGACGGGAATGGTTGCAGTCGCAACTCGAGGGAAAGGACAGAGACGAATTGCGCAAGCTTTGTACGCAATTGGGTCTTTCCCACCGACGTGCGAACTCTACAAGTATGTTGACGAAGGCAGAGTTGGTGGAGCAATTGTTGCCGGCATTGTCTCCATCTTTGGACCCGTGGCTGCCAGTTTGATGACATGACATAATGTGATGATTCGTATGTGACAAGTATTCTATAGAAATATTTGTTTTTATTGATATGCACTTTTGTCTGTGCACGCGACACGTAAATGTTGTCAGTACACATGAGATATAAATGTTGGATGGGCATATTTTTTGTGAGAACGTTGTACGTTTCAGGTTCTTCGACAGTATGACATAACAGGAGGTTCGGGAATGCATGTGTTCATCCGGTTCTGCAACGTTTCGACTGGCTTTGCTCGTTTTAGATGGAGCCCCATACTCAGGAATCGTCGCAACCTGCAGTGAGTGACATTGAGCAGCTCATCCAAGTTCTGCAGACGGAATCTGCTGTCAAGGGACGGGAATGGCTGCAGTCACAGCTCGAGGGAAAGAGCACCAGCGAACTTCGTCAGCTTTGTACATCGTTGGGTCTTTCCCGTCGACGTGCGAATTCTACAAGCATGTTGACGAAGGCAGAGCTGGTGGATCAGTTGTTACCAGCAATGTCTCCATCCTTGGACCCCTGGCTGTCAGTTTTAGAGACAACATGACAGGACACGATGTGATGATTCGTATGTAACAAGTATTCTTTATGCGTTGTCGTTTCAATTTGTTTGTCCGAGGCCTATAGTAGTGTATCTTTTCACTGCTATACACTTTTGTTTGTACACATTCATCAATAGTATGACATGATATGAGGTTAGGGAGTGCATGTGCTCATCCGGTTCTGTAACTTTTCGAATCGCTTTGCTCATTTTAGAGTGGACCCCATACTCAGGAACCATCGCAGCCTGCAGTGAGTGACATTGAGCAGCTCCTCCAAGTTCTGCAGGCCGAAGCTGCTGTCAAGGGACAGGAGTGGTTGCAGTCACAGCTGCAGGGAAAGGACATTAACGAACTTCGGAAGCTCAGTACGCACTTTGGTCTGTCTCATCGAGCTGCTGACTCTCTGCGTAAATTGAGCAAGGCAGAGCTGGTGCATCAGTTGCTACAAGCAATATCTCCATCTTTGGACCCCTGGCTGCCAGTTTGTGAAACAACATGACAGGATGTGATTGTTTGTACGTGACATGTGTTCCCTATGTATCGTTTTGCATTATAATACTTTCGTTGCAAGTATCGTCTACAGCTACCAAGACTTGCGCAGCATAACCATTGAGGACAGACCTCAGCAACCGATCGCGACCGGGAGTTGTCCGAAGCCTTTGGTTGCTAAGTATGTCTTCGACGGTAGTGCTGTGCATGCTGTTGCACTGTGACATTTGGACGTTCGAATGGTTTCATGCAGACCAGTATCTTGCAATTTCGATACCCAGGAGGTGTTTCAACGCCGGGGATTGTTGTGGGTTGTCATTGTAATTTCGTGTTGTCATCGGTGGTTGTCGTCGTTGATTTCGGACCTGCATCGAGGATCTCCATACTTCGTTGGACGCTTTGCGAGCAGAGGCTGCAATTCGTGGCAAAGAGTGGTTGCAAGCCGAACTGGAAGGGAAGGACACGGATGAACTCCGAAAGCTCAGCTCGGTAGCTAAACTGCCTACAAGAGTTGCTGTTTTCAAGACGATGTTATCGAAAGCGGAACTGGTGGGTCAGCTGCTGAAAGCCTTGGCTGCGAATCCTGAGACTCGATGGCATGTAGCGATGTAGCGCTAATGGGATCATTCAGGTTTGGGATTTGGATGAGATCTCTTCATCCAAACACAATTTCGCACAAAGCTATATATATATACATATACCATGGTCTCGCACCTGCATACAGTTACGAATAATACTAGTATCTGTTCAAAGTACTTGCATATTTGAGAGACTCGATCGACCCAGGAAGAGGCTCCACCGAAGGCACCGCACCAAATCTGGCAATCCCTGTGTGATGATGTGGAAGTGAAAGGCCAGGAGTGGTTGCAGAAGGAGTTGGAAGGAATGGACGCGAATGAATTGCGGACGCTATGTGTACCTGCAGGTGTTTCTTGCCGGGCAGGGGACTCTCGGAGATCAAAGGCTGGTGGAACTGCTGACGAAAGCAACTTCTCCATCCATTGAGCCTTGACAACAGCTTTAGGAAAGAAGCGTTTGTTTGTCTTTTCGTTCTGATTGGTATGTTGGAATTTTGCTTTTGTTGTTGTTAGTTTTCAGGACGGTGGTGAGTGTGATGTTCTGACATGTCAGCGATAAGGTAACCGCTGAGCAACTGAAACTGGAGGCGGTACAGCAAGGCCCCAATGCACGGGCGTGGCTTCGTCGCAAATTGAACACTTTCTCGGCCAAGGTAGCCAAGGATTCAGTGGACGGCCGAAGCCCGCTGGCGGCGCTGGGTGCTGAAGTCGGTGTGGAAGACTGTCTGTCTAAGAAGGCGCTGATCGAGCGCATGATCGCCGTCTTGCTGCCAGAAGAATCATTGGACAGCAGCGCCGCGGTGCAGCGGCATGCTTGGCGATTGCTTCGGTCCTGTCTTGGAAGACAAGCAGCAGGCGAGCAAATCGATGCCGATTTCTTGAGCACAGAGGTAGTCGACGCAGATCTTCGGCTGAAACTTCTTGCATGGTGTTTGTGCATTCCGATGGACACTCTGGTGGGACGTCACTATAGCTCTCAGCAGACATTGCTGGAATTGATTCGTAGTCTTGGTTGCATTATGACACACTTCAATTCCGTTTCGGACGTTTGGGCCACACTGGATGTTGACTTGCAAAAACTTGATGCTGATGCTGCATTGCAGCGCTTTCCCAACCTTGAACGCGAGCACGTCATCGCTTTGCTGGCTTGCGTGTTGCACGAGAACCCAGTGAAAGCTCAAGGACGGCGGTAGTTTGATCAAACAGCTGAAGGTTCAGTCTGTTGAAGGTTGTTTTTGCTTAGCACGAGAACATGGAGTTGTTATTTGTTGTTTCCTTGACAGGTTTGTTTTGTCTAACGTTTGCTTTCATCAATGTTTTTGGTTGGGTTGCAGGATGGAAACAGTTGTTGGATTTTGCGGATTCCGTCGATATGTTTGATGTTGCTGAACGTCTTTGGGATCTGCAGACAGTGCGGATGGAACGGCAGTGGAATGAACCAACAGGCTTCGAAGATCAAGAGGACGTTTTAGAGGCGAGGGTGCATGACAGCATGACTCTTTATAGGTAGGGTACCTGTTTATTTTCTTCATTTTTCGTCGGAGTGTTTTGGTACAATGCTTTCAACCGAATGTTTTGTCTCGTGTAGTACGATCCGTTTGCGAGGCCGTTCTACAAATTCTGCATGGCCGTAGGGCCACAGTGGAGACGGATGGCAAGTCTCGGAAGCGCAAGGGTGCTTTGGATGATGCCGACAAGGCCTTTCTACGTGGTCTCATGCGAAGGTATGGCTTGGAACTGATAGATCATCCGGAAAAGCCGTGTCTGTGGCAGGAAGTGTTCACCAAAGCAGATTTTCTGCAGACACTGTGGTTCGTCATACAGCGACTTCTGCATCCACGTGCATCTGGCGAGTTGACGGCTCTGCGTTGCCTCCATCAACCTGATCGCATTGCTGCACTTAGAGCTTCCAGGAGTCGGGGCGTTGAATGTAGAGGGGTAAATTGTTTGGTATGGTCGTACATTCTTTAGTTTTTGGACGTCAGTATCGTTGTTGGTTGTCGATTGGGTAAAAGGCTTTACATCATAACCCTTGAGCCTTGCGAAGGAATGGCGTCCATGCCGATGTGTTGTCCCTGCATCAAGAGTTGCTGGAGTGGCAAATGGACACGGGGACGAGTAGACTGCCGAATGAATCTGAAGACAGGCCTTTGTCTTCGAAGATTGACAGCTACAAGGAGAAGGACAGAAGGAATCGCATCTCAAGCATGAAGAAGGCTTATCCTCCTGATTTTGAACCTTTAGAGCAGTTGTCCTTGGACTGTCTTACTGGAGCAGGTGACTCATCGACAGGTGTGCAGTGGCGTTCTGAGTTTGAAGAGCAACTTATGCTTTCTGTACCTGGCTGGACAGAGGATGCAAAGAAAAGTCGCACTTTTCATACATTGCAAGAAGTCCTCCAATGCGGCGATGTGTTTCTTCAACAATGTTTTGCGACGCTGCAATCTTATGGATTGTCTCTTCAGCGCAAATTGAGCGTTCTTGCTGCCAAGTTGCAATGCACTCCTAGCATACCAGGTGTGGCGGAAGCTATGTCCACTCGATTACTCTCAACTCCACAGGACACAGAGGAGATGGAGCTCAACAGATATGTTTGTCGGTTGTGCGACTTTCAATGTGCAGACAAGGAAGTCTTGCAAGAGCACATCAAGGACGCTCATTCGAATGACACTGAGGTTGCAAGAGCATGGGTGGAATATCGCAAGAAAGTGGTTGGATTATTGCATCATGCAGGACCTTCGGTGTCCTGGCGTTTGTTAGTGTCATTTTACTTGCTTAGGCAATTCTTGTGCATTCGATGTTCTGTGATCTATTTGGTCATCATGGAAAATGTTAAAAAATCAGGGACTCAAAAATCAGTGTTTTTCTCCTTAGCGGAGTCTGTGCACTAATCGGTCATTATGGAAAATGTTATTTTTTGAGTCCCTGATTTTTTTAAAAAAATCAGGGACTCAAAAATCAGTGTTTTTCTCCTTAGCGGAGTCTGTGCACTAACCGGTCATTAGGGAAAACGTTGTTTTTTTGAATCCCCGACTTTGTTAAAAAAATCAGGGACTCAAAATCAGTGTTTTTATACTTAGCGGGGTTTGTGCACTAATCTGTCATTGTGGAAAAGGTTCTTTTAAAGACTCAGGAACTTGACAATGAATGTATTCGATGAGATAAGTTTTTGAGTTTCAGACATATTCGAAAACGTGTCCGGTAAATCGATCCGGTCTCAGGTTCCCTCTTGGACTGTGCAACGCAGCTTGATGGCCAATGCGGATGCAGCATTGCGAGAGCCAGGACGGGATGGAGCACTGCGTGAGGAACGGGCATGTGTGGTTTGCGCTCGTAGATTCTGGAGCGAAGAGTTGCGTCCAGTTATTTTGTTCCAAGATCCAGCTGCTGGAGCTCCAGAGACGGTGGACGGAGAAGAGGAAGATCAGCGAGTGAAGAAGATTGCACCTTCGCAACAACGTCGACTGTGTCGAGTTCTGGGCGTACAGCGCTACCTGGAGCGTTGGCCACAGCTACAGGCCCGTCCAGAGGCCATTGCAGAGCTGAAGGCATCGGCGGTCGAGCATCCATTCTTGAAGGAGGAGCTGCTCCTTTTACATCGACGCCGAACGCCAGCTGATGTCAGGGACCCATGCGACGTTTGCCGAGAATGCTGTGGTCCCTTGACATCAAGCATGGTGAGCCTTCCTCGGTACAGCTTAGCCAATGATTTGTGGATCGGTCGACAACTTCCAGCTTTGAGAAACTTGGCAGCGGCCACCAAACGTTTGTTACCAATGGTGCGCACCTGTCTGCAAGTCACTGTTCTGCAGCCCGGTAACCTCGTTCGAGAGGAACGGCAGAAGGGCTTCATCGGCAACAGCATCTTTTTGCCGCAGGCTGCGCCCACAGCCATTCGAGCTGTCCTTCCGCCGCCAGAACAGGACATGCAGGAGTCCATTCTCTTTGTTTTGGTCGGCGATGGACAGAACAAAACAGCCCTTCAAAGCAGTGCATTGTTGAAGGCCCCTCGTGGCGAGTACGAATCTGCAGTTCGATGTCTTCAAAGCACTTCGCCGTACTACGAAGAAGTCACGCTTCGGGACGCTGGTGAGTCTACGTTGCAGGGTTGCATTTTGGAAACCGGTGTCAACAGCTACTTAGCCAAACAGTTGCTTCAACAGGGCCCGGCTGATGCACAAGGACAAGAGGATGATGATACCGAAGAAAATCAGGAAGCGGAACCAATGGAAGATGCAGGTGGAATGTTTTTTTTTACAGTTTGGTCGTGTAGTTTAGTGTTTCTTCCTGACGTTTTCCTTTGCTAGTGCGAACTTTGAATGAGAACGGTTCGAGACCGAAAGTTGTTCGAATCCTACCGTTGCTCATTCGAAGTGTAACTTGTGGATTGGTCATGTGATCGGGAGTTTCTTTACAATGACATCGTGAAGTTTCATGTGTTTTTATTTCACACGGTTTGTTTTCATAGTTTAAACTTGAATGAGAACGGTTCGAGACCGAAAGTTGTTCGAATCCTACCGGTTCTCATTCAAAATGCGGCGCGTAGTTTTGTTTGACTGGTTTGTATTTTGAATGATGACGGTTTGAAACAGGAAATTATTTGAGTCCCACGTTTTTTTCATTTCAAGTGAAACCTGTGTAGTCGTGTTGTATGCTTTGAAGGGTGGCCCGAAGTAGCTTTGAAGAACCATTTAGCGCAAGTTGTTCTCACGACGTCGAATTCGACAGGTCACTTGGTGTCGAGCATCGTGGGCCTCAATGATGGTGAGGACGAGCAATGCAAATGGTTGAAAGTTGGTCGTGATATGCAAGAGCTCTGTCGTCGCAAGCCTGGATCCCGACTCAGTGTGGCACAACAAGTTTGCAGAGATCGAGATGGCAACGTGGTGTCTGATGGCTCATCTGCCCGGAGTTCTCAACTCCTTGGTCGCGAAGGACTTCGAGAGCGACAGGCCCTAGGGCAGATCAAGAGCATCCAAAGTCTGGCGGCCCAGTCTGCACAGAGTCATCGGCAGGTGGAAGCGGACATGTTCCAAGTCCGACCTTCCAAACTGGTGGCGCCGTCACAAGGGTCGCCTGCTTCTATGTTTGAGCCTTCGACCTGGGCAATGGCATTTCGATGGAGTTCCATTTCTGAAGCGAGAGACTCGCATGGATGCAGCAGAGGTCTTCCGATACCTGCTCATCCGCGAGGAGCTGCAGTACAAGCTACCGTCAGAGTCGGAGCTTGTTTCTGCCCCTTTGCCACGATGGTCTCTATCAGTGGCTCGCCAGGTTGGTGGTTGACGATTTGTAGATTAGCATCGAGTTAACTCGTTTGTTTTTCTTTTAGATTGTGTTCCGGATGCAGAGCGTCAAGAGTTGAGTTACGTTTTTTTTGGTACCGACACTCCGACACTCGCTCTTTTTTGTTTAGGTTTATGTTTGGAATTGTCACGAACCAGTGGAATCTTGTTAAGGAGACATTGTTGCCTGTGATGTACGATGTGCAGCGACGATTGGAGCTTATGAAGTCTACCAAAGCATATGTGCAGCGTCGTGGCTTCGCAAAGCATCTCAATCTCATCGCCAATGTGAGCACAGAAGATCTTTTGAAGGCAATGGCATTGCATGGGGAAGCTGCGGACATTCGAACTCTGATGCAAGATGCCAATGTAGATCCAGCTTTGAAACGTGCTCTGGGCGGAGTGCTGCAATCAACCGCCAATATCATCGGCTTGGAAGGACATCGCAGTCAAATTCGACTTCGTGGTCATGCAGCCGGTTGGCACTATGGCAATGCGCATCTTTTTGTCACACCCAATCTGGCTGACGTTCGTGCACCGTTGATGTTGCAGCTGCATCTGCAGACGAATGGCATTGCCGAAGTGGAGGCACAGAGTATTTGCTTGGATTGGGACGATGAAATCCCGGGCTTGCCTACGGCTGCGACCATGCGAAGAATCATTGCTCGAGATCCAGTGTCCCAGGCTCGGTTTTTCCATCTTATGATGAAGATCTTTTTCGAAGAGCTGCTTGGCATCGAGCCGACTTTTCAAAAGGAACGGTATGCAGTTGGATTTCCACGCTGCTTCGAAGATGGCATGGCAACTTCATTGTATGGTGGCATCTTTGGTGATATTGCTGCTTTGTGCGGCCCGCTCGAAACGCAAGGAGAATCGAAGCAAGTAAATCGGATGAGTTTTAAATCTTGTTTGCAAATATATATCGTGGATGATATGCCATATGATCTCATTGATGTGGTTCTGTGCGCCTACCTACATACATACATACATACATACATAATTTGATACATACATACATACAGACATACATACATACATATATGCATACACACATGATATATGTTTGCTTTGGATACCGATTGTTCGAGGTCGGTAGTTGTTCGATTCCGGGAACGTAAGATTCACTGATGAAGTAAAAAATACTAGTGACTGTCAGGACGTGGATCCATGCATCCACATATCCTCATCGTCTTGCTGGGTCATGACCTCATCAGTCGTGCGCACACCTTGATGCGTCGCATTGGACATGGCGAGCTGGTGGTGGAACTGCAAAGGTGGAGTCGCAAAGTGTTGGAAGCTGCTGCGAAGATTCGCTGGGACAGTCAATTGGCTTTGTCCGATTGCTTGAATGTAGAAGGTACACCTTTGCCGTTTTCCGAAAAGCAACGCAGTGAGTGTGGCAAACAATATGCGGAGGTACCGCTTCAAGCAACGGAACCAGATGGTCATGAGATCATTGCCGATCGAGAACAACAAGTTGGTCCTCCACGTTTGACTGGCTGCTTTGCATCGCTGCGACCGCGATATCTACGACGCAAACTTCATGAAGAGTTTCCCCGTGAAATTTGGAAGACTGCCTTTTGTTCTGATTATCGACGACTGGTGATTCAGAATCATTTCCACAAGTGCACAAAGTCGTGTTTCAAGAAGATCCTCGACCAATTTAGTGCATTTTTTTGTTTTGATAGAAAGTTCCTTTCGTAACCACCTTTTGGAGCATGTTGCGCATAAGTTTTGAAACTAGTGGCCAGAACTCAAACGGAAATATTATAGCGGTATATACTTGTGGGACTATATGATGAGACCATGTTGAAATACAAAAAGGAAGAACATTGTTCGAGACCGGAAGTTGTCCGAATCTTACAATTTGTCTTCCATCAGAAGTAGTAAAGTCGATGTATATTAAGATCTGTTTGATATGGGAACCTGGTAGTGAGAGATAATATTTTGTTTCTGTGGTGGAAAATTGTTCGAGACCGGAAGTTGTCCGAATCCTACAATTCATATTCCACCATCTTTATACGGATAAATGTATAGATGTATGGAAATAGTAGCAAGAGTTAGGACACGGTTTGGAACATCTTCATTACGATGGTGTGTTTTTGTTTTTGCCAGGAGTGCCAAGAAGGGAAAGCGAGGCTGTCGATTTGGTTGCTTTCATGTCGAACTTTTCAAAGACGAGACGGATGGGAAGATGAAAACACGTTGCTATAAAGGATGGCCTCGAGTTCAAGAACCTCGATTTGTTCGATTGCCTCATGAAACAGCCGATGTCACATTGCTGGAGCATTTCAAAAATGAGAATCCACACGTCACGCAGCCTCGCCGTGATCATCCTTTCGAGGGCATGAGCAATCCTGCAGCTCAAGTGGTCATGCGATGTAACGTGGATGTGAAGTATTTGGGTCGTGCATTCGATGCAGCTGATTTGGAGAAAGTAGCATCAGAAGTCGGTGGTTTGTCCGCACTGGATCCTCAAGCATTGCCTGATACTGATGCTGAGCCACAACAGTCTACAAGTGCCTCCAGTGTTGATGTCCCAATGCACGACGTCAATTTGGACAGTGGAGATGTCGATGACAGCATGCAAGTTGTTCGGGAACAGGTGAAAAAGCGGAAGACTGCCACCGTGAATGCTTTGGGCCCTCACAAAGATACTTCGCAGTTCTCGCATACCATGGAGCGGATTCTGATTGATATGTTTCGTGACATGGAGGATGTGCAGTTCTACACTGGTGAGTATGCAAGTAAGAAATTTGAGGTCTCCAGAAACTTGCTCCCTGAACTGTATGCTGGTGTGCAGAAGTTGGAAACAGAAGAGACCGAGCGTCTCCAAAGTGCCAGCATCGCAGAAGATGCAACTGCGCCCCAGGCAGCGTCCTCTGCCAACCTGCCTGGGGGTCAGCAGCAGCACAGGGCACTCAGCATCCTCCGACGCCTGGCTTTCGGCATGCAGCGATGCGTTGCAAAATCCAACGGAGAGATGGCGTACCAGCTTTTGTACGAACAGGAACAGTATGTGACGTTTGGAGGGTACAACATGTTCTTCCGCTACATCCCCTATGCAATCATGCAACGCCGATTGCAAGCACTCACGGATGCGTCAGCCGACCATCCTGAGTGCGCCGTGCCACCCCTCGATGTCCCGCCTCCTGATGCAGCGGCAGCCTTGCCCATTCAGGAGGTGGCGGACATCGAGGAGGAGGTGGACGGCAGGGGAAGCAAGAAGCAGCAACTGGCACACTTCAACCAGAAAGATGACTTCTTGCATCGCGGTTCCCATCCACTGCTTCGTTCCATGTCGCTGCTGATGTATTCCAGGTTTGTTCGACGTGTGGATCGCTCCAAAGCAGGTCAGGCCGATGGATTGCAGTTCTTCGAGTTCGATGCACACTATCCACATCACCGTTCTTCGCTGCAAGAGGTCCGACTTGCGGACAACAATGTGGTCGTGCCAACCGACCTTCGTCTCCCGGCCGACCACGAGACAGAAAAGCTGGCTGCTTACATGTTGGGCTTGACTTTTCCGTTCCCAACTTGCACCGGCGATTGCAACAACTCGCAGCATTGCTTCGCTTGTCATGTCGTGGAAGTACATGAAAGCCGTCGGGAGATCACTGCACGATTTACACCCGTTTGGCGGCATTGGAATGCCAGCATGAAAGTTCGACAAGAAGCAGCGCAGACAAGAATTTTGGCTGGTCTATCCGTACCGGTGTTGCGAGATGTTGTTGGTGTGCGAGCATGGTACAGTGCAAAAGCAACTCCTGGACGTCGTTTGTTCGCCGACTTCATGAAGAAGCTTGCGCAGCAACATCTGGGTCGGGTCGAAAGCGTGTTTGTGGATATTCCCCGCATTCATGAGCTGATCTGTATGTATTTGAATGTCGAGCCACAGTCGCACTATTCACAGTTGACTCCTTTGGAACACTTGTGCACTTTGCAGTTATCGTGGTTGGAACGATACAGGTTACACCAGGCGGCACGGCGACTCAGCAGCAGTCAACGTCGCGCCGAGCGCTTCGCCTACATGAGCAATGTTGACATGGAAGAAGCCGATCCAGAGGAGGATGAGACGGGTGCGGTGGACATTGAAGGCGAAGATGCAGATGATGACATGCAGCACGCAGATGCATTGGAACGCATGGAGTGTGCTCCACATCCAATCCACAAAGACTCTCTGGCTGATGCTTTGTTTCGTGATCGTGAGTGGTACGCTGTCATGGCGAACTCCAAGGCGAAGGCGTTGAAAACTTCTCTGCAGAAGTTGATGCAATTTGTGAATTGTTTGGGTGGCGTGCCCGATGTCAAGCATGGTATGGGCATCCGAAGCAATGGCACGACTGAGCTGGATCGGACATGGAGTCACGCAGATACTGGACGAATTTTTGCGGCACAAAAGCAATATTTGGAATACATTGCCGGAGGCTAGGGTTTCTCGAACGTGTTTCCTTTGATGTAGTGACTGGATGATTACACGTTTGGTTTAGTGTATTTTTGGACTTTTTGGTTCAGTTTTA